AAAAAAAAAAAAAAAAGGGGGGGGGAAGGGGGGGGGCGGAGGATCAAGAAGCCTAACACACTAAAGTTGACCAACTTTAATGGATTGTATTATACAAAATATTATTACAATCTATTAGCAGAGTCCTTAATTGTGTGCACTAGAAGTGCTACCAATATTGTGTTTTCTATTATCTCCTTGAATGTGGGTCACGGTTCACTACATTAGTTGAAATCTGGCTTGTTCTCATTCACTGAAGTGTGGCCCCTTCTCAGTGAAGTGGTAGAAACTCTTGATAAGCTGCTGACTCACTGGGCCACCAGTCTTGAGGTTCCATTTCTTCCCTTCAAGAGCTGCCTGTGGCTTGGGAATATCGCTGCTGTAGAAGAGAGCACTGTGAAGGGTTGGGGCTGCTTTATGACATGCCTCTCAGAAAGCTTGTCAGTGTGCTCAGGCCCGTTTGGTCGCTGTGCTTTGCTTCTGTAGAGCTGGTCAAGATACATACCCTGCCTGGCATCAAAGCCCTCCAGAGAAAGTAACTTCTTAAAGGCAAGGTGTCTTAAGGGCCAAATGAAAGTTCTCATCAGAAGCAGAATAAAATATAAAAAAATATTTCACAAAGATATTTTAGAGGAAAAAAAAATGCAGCTATCTAGAAATTACTGCATGTAGCTTCCTATCTCTTTAAAAAAATAAATGCATATATATGTCATTTTAAGCTGAAATTACATGAATTCTGCTTATAGTGATGTAGTTATCTGTTTTAAAAGCATATACAAAGTCCAGAAAGTAATTGGTGAATAGGTCTTTAAAAAAGAGTATGAAACTGAGAACCTTGTAAACTAGAAGGTATAGTACACTTTTATTATACTTTCCATATGCATCTAGTCCAAAAGTAATGCTTCATATGGCAAAACTGAATAACTTAAACCAAGTAGTTCGATAAGCAAAGATTTCTCTATTTCACTTCCTGCTTTCACAAGCACTTGGCAATGGGGCTGTATGAAACATTTGCTGCTTTGAAAATATTATTTAAAATTTCTGAGAAACAGAAATTACCCTACTGGATAAGAATGGTAATCAAAATATTCACTTTTAATTTCCTATCTCCAGAGTGTTGTCTTGTCTTAGGGGAAATGTAAGAAGTGCTAGAAAGGACAACTTGACCTAAATCAATTAATAGCATGATTATGGTATGATCTTAAGCACCTGAGTATCCCCGTATTTCATGTTTTCTACATGTTGCAGTGCTTTGCAGGACCTGAGCTTTAAGAAGAAGCCCAGTCATATTAGACCATCAGTCTTACTAATTATGGAAGCATTTGCTTTCTGTAGAACTCCTAAATGGCAGAAAAAACCACTGTCATAGCCCCCAAATGATACCTGCTTCTAAAACACAAAAGAGATGCTCTATGTCCTTGTCTTCGTAGAACAGTGAATATTTTTACTTATTGATATGTTTTGATAACTTAAATGTCTATAGCCTATGCTTATCTCTAAAAACATCTGGGTCAACACCTTTCAGAGATCATTTTCACACCTCTAACACTGTTGTGGTTTTGCAGCCCTTATGAGTGCATTCATTTCATATTTTAAAGTTTCTCTCTTATGTAGGCTGTAAAAATGGCAAACAAAATCACTTCACTAAAAAGCTAAAACCCTGTTGACTCGTTGCCCAAATTTGATCTAACCTGGTTAAAGCTTCATGTGCAATACTTTATTTTTAAAATATTGTAAACACATTGATTTTCTAATCAATGATAGATCATTATATTAGCTTTTTAGTATGAATAGCATATAAATCAGCACTTGATTAAAAGGGAGCCTTCTGAAATATCAAACTCTCTACTCACTTAGATATCAACACCTAGTAGTTAACACTATTATGAGAAAGATCGAAGAGGTTGGTACTCAACCATATACAAAGGAAAACATACTTTGAAATATCAGTTTCTTCTATATGTGTAAAATTTCCCCATACCACTTGTAAAGATTCTGCATCACAGGCCTCAGTAATTTAACATTATTTACAGAGATAGACGAGGCTAGTAAAAGATGTGACTGAGACTGAGTTTAAATGAGTGAGATAGCTTGTGTACAGTGCAGTCAAGAGATGTTTCCAAAGAACCAGTGTCAACTTCTAACCTCTAGATCACATCAAAAAATCAGTTTATGAACCTACTAGCTTAGTCTGTGTGGTTTGGGGCCCTATAATACAAAACTATGCTTTTACATTTACAGAAAAAGAGAACACTTTCTTTCCCTACAAAATCCCATGTTAGCATATCTAGGTAGCTAGTTTGATACATCCTTTTCGTTTATGTACAAATACCCAAATGTATGAGCAAATACAATCTTTGGTAAATATGCGGTCTGTGACCTTTCACAGCTGCCTTAGAGCCAATATCCAGAACAGATTCTGCAGGCTTTCATCACAGACTTGTTTTCACAAAAGTCAATTCCACTTTTTCTCTAGACACAAATTACAATGCAGCAGAAACTTCTTGTTCTCCAGTGGATTGTGTGTAGGTGGAGCTAGCTCGTTCAGCTGTGTCAACATAGAAAACGGGACAGAATTTAGAGAAGTGGAATGCAATCTGCTTTCTGAAAAAGTTACGAAGATACTTCCTAAATTTTTCTCCAGCAAAGGCATAAATTACAGGGTTGATACAACAGTGAATCATAGAGATTGTTTCTGTCACTTGGATTGCTTTGTGCAGTTGACTATTGCCTTCACAAGTAGTGATGGAAAATGCACCTTGAAAATCACGCAAGAGAAGGCAAATGTTGTATGGTGCCCAGAAAAAGAGGTACACAATCATGATGATAAAAATAAGCCTGACTGCTTTATGTTTCTTCTCATTCCTACATTGCAGTAATGTCTTTATAATTTGCGTGTAACTGCATATCATAATGAACATTGGAATAACAAGTCCCAGAATGTTCATTTTTAACGTCAGAAATTGCTTCCATACATTTATCTGGTCTGATGGATAATGAGCACTGCAAGTATAACGTGAATTTTCCTTTTGAGTTTTGTGGAATACTATCCCAGGAACAGAAATCAAAAGAGCAACAACCCAAGTAGCAATGCTGGCGAGGATGCCGTAGGTGACTGTCCTAGCTTTTAAAGCAAACACTGCGTGCACTATGGCCAGATACCTGTCTAGGGTCAACAGGATTATGAAAAAGATGCCACTATAGAAGCCAAGGAGGTAGATGCCTGAGAGTATTCTACACAGCGCCTCCCCAAAAATCCAGTCGTGAACAGCGTAATAAGCCCAAAAAGGGAGAGAAAATACAAACAGCAAATCAGAAATTGCCAAATTGAGCAGGTAGATGTCAGTCATGCTCTTCAGTCTCTTGTATTTGACCAGGATAAGGACAACAAGCATGTTGCCGGTGAGGCCAAATATCACCACCAAAGAATAAAGCGGCGGCAGAAGACTTGCTGCAAAGTGCTTTTCCTCAGTTCCCACGCATGGCTCTGAATCACCGTAGTCAAATTCTGTTGTCAGTGACCAGTCATCTATGTCCGTGGTATTGTTTTCCATGGTGTCTTGGTCTGGAAAGGAAGAAAAGGATGGTAAACTGGAGGAAACCCCAGGCTTGGCAGTGAGGGGAATGAAACATGCTGATGTCCTCATCTGGAATGCTTTTTACTGTTGAGCACCTGAACATTACTACGTCAAGGTGTGGAAGAGAATGAAATTGCAGAGCTCCCAGGAAACCCATCTGTATACTGGTGAGGTCACATCGCTGCACGCTGGAAGCGTGCCGCGCGTCATTTCCTACGTGTCTGCTGTCTGGTGCGTTTTTCCTTCTCAGCAGAGCCTGTCATCTGCCTGACCCAACCAGAAGCAAAGGAATGATGAATTACTCTGAGCAGTGGGTAGTTTGGGGCTCTTGTGCTCATCAGTGGCTTTCCAAAGGGGTGGAGAGACCCAGCAAGGCAGCAAGAGGAAGGCACAGCGTAGCCATGCCTCTCCTTGGGACCCGGCCACCTTCTCATCGTGCCAGCCCATATGTAGCCCTCACCGGGGGAGGACAAGGCACTGGCCAGGTGTAAACTGGTGCCCGCAAAGGCGCTGTGACACGGGTGAAAGAAACTGACTGCCGCTCGTTGTTCCTGACTTCCTGGGAGCCTTAACGCCTGTGGGAATCCGGCCACTGGGGTGTAGGGATGACCTAGGCTGTGCTGTACTAAACGTACCCACCTGGTGGGCCTGCTGTCCGGGGTGTTGCAGAGCAGCAAGGCGTCAGCGTTGGTCTGGGTCAAAATGGCAAACGCTGTGTCCTTTCCAGCGCGTGGGTCAGGCGTGGGCCATGGAAGCGTGCTGCTTTTAGGTAGCTCTGGAATGAAAAGGGTGCACAGTCCTGCGGAAAGAACAGAGAGGCAAACACCTTAGCAAATGGCATGAAAGATGACAGTTGGTGTCAGTGTGGCCTATAGCACCTGTATCTGTCGTGGCATCTTCCTGTCAACTGAAAGACCTCCCCAGGGCTCAGGGATGAAAGAAGTTGTGATTCCCTGTTTCAGTAGCTGCTTAGCAGCCGTGATTCGGGAGCTCCAAAGTCTAGACTGGCTCAGTGTCTTGGAGGGGGAACAAAGGCGAAAGGCAGATACGGCCGTCGCTATGAGGGCGCACTGACAGTTCCCCATCTGCAGCGGTTGTTTGACATCGTTCCTCATCTGTTGGTAGCCAGCATTTCCAGTGAGGTGACACAGGAGCTGAGGAAGCGCAAGGGTTACCCAAACTCTCTGTCCCTCCAGTTTAGGCCTGGGAACTGTCGGAGGGAGTGGGCTTCCCTTGCAAGAAGGTAAGAAGGTGCCACAGCCTGGGAGGTGAGTGTGCAGCAGAGCTGGGAAAGCCCTCAGCAAGGGGTTTCTTTACAGCGGGAGCAGGTAAAGGCTTGTGACTTTGCTCCCAACCCTCCTCCTTTCCCAAGTCCCAGGTAGGACTGGGAGCTGGATGCAGAAGCGAAGCTTTGTGTAATCTGGTCTCTGAAAGGTTGAGAACCGTCTTCTCTCAAACCTCCAGAGAGAATGGAAGTATCCCTGCGTGTCCTGTGTGAAGCCAGGAAAAGGATTTTGTGAAGACGGGTGTCAGGGGGGCCAAATATGCTTCCTGGTCACTTAGTGGGGAAGTGAAATCAATGTGCTTGGCAGCCACTCGCATAGAGCCGTTTGGTGCCTGGTGACAGGGCTGCTCTTCCTTCCTGTGTCAGCAGGACTTTCATCAGGCACTTCATGGCAAATTGGTGCCTGTTCATAGCAGGTTGATGCTTTTCCAGTCTGCACTTTCCTGGCAATTTAACACCTACCTGTTTTCTTGACAGAGGCAACAGACTGCTCCCGACACAGATGGCTTCAGGTAGGCAGCGCATGTGCCCTAACCCCTGCCTTCAGACGGCCGTGCACCTGCCCCAACGTGCACTGCGATCCCTGGCTGCTCATGTAGTGCAGGTCCTGCTCACAGCCCCACCATGCACTTACTTTCTTCAGTGGCGAGCTGTACCCTGTGTGATTGCAGACGTCTTTTGCAGAGATCACATCCTCAAAACCACCACTTCATTCTCTCTGCACTTGTGTTCTGCAAGATGAGATATAACTGAAGAAATTCAGCCTGTGGCTGTAGTGACACAGGGGCAGGCCCCCGGTCTGCTTTTTTTAGTAGCTCATAGTTGTCCATTCTGATTGACAGCCTATGAATTCTGTGAAGTGTCTCACACTAGTTGTGTCATCTAGACAAAACCATTCAGGTGAAAGGACTATTTTCTGCTGTCAGTACAGATTGGTGAAAATGTTAATATCTTTATTTTAATTTGTGTTAATGTGGTTAATTTAGCTAAACCTAAGCTGAGGTTTGAGCATGGGACTGTCTTCTAGGTCTTTGACCTTGGTAGGTCCCGTGATCTTAAAAATAATGATCTGTGTCTCTCATGAGCTGCCAGCTCCTGATGGAGATTCTTTTGTTGCACTGTGCAGACAGAAATCTTCCCCAACAGAAGGAAGCTCTGTTGGAGCAAAATCTGTACATTGTAAACAAAAAGAGGTGCTGCTTTTGCAAAACTTTTTCCCACCTCTTCCCCAAGTTCTTCCTGAGTGTGGCTGTCAGCTCTCCTCCTAAGAATAACAAGAATGAGAATATCCCTGTTCAGATATTACTTTGGTATGTTGACTATAGCATGAAGTTTTCTTCTGGAGAACAAGAGAAAATTGGAAGGTTTTAACAGTCTTGGTCTCAGCTTTGCCTAGAAAGAATTTCTTGGGGACAAAATAAGTGCTATCAAACTCCTCAAAGACTGGCTTTCAGTCAGCTCTGTCAATCTCTGTGAAACAGTTTTTTCCACAGCCATACTAACTACATAGTTATTACAATACTGAGATAATGGTTTTGCTGGTAAAGGAAGTGGCTGTTGACAGTAAATATGCTGATTTTAAAGTATCTAAGGGTTTACATCTCTTAAGTAGTGTCAGCAACTGTTTTAGAAAAAAAAAAATCATCTTTATAAACACTCTTTGGGCCAAAACATTAACTTCTTTATTTCAAAACATGACAAGACTTGGGTACTGCATAAATATTTAATACTCCCTGCAGCTAGATCTGTTAGATCTATGTGGCGTGCCCTGACAGTACATGTCCCTGGTACTGCATATAGCTGAATATCCCCATTTCTGATGTGTCAGTGAGCCATGCTGTATACTGGGATTATGGGATGAGGGACTGGCTGCAACACAGTGCCAGACCCGGCACATCCTGTCTTGATCATTTTGCACCTGCATGATGCTTATGCATACACACAGGTGTGAAAAACACCTGGGTCATAAACCCAGAGTGGGATTTTATGACTATGTGATTGATAGGTTTCATGCAAATATTATTGCAAAATGATGTCTCTATGTTATTGTGGTAATTCTTTTCATGACATCCTCTTCTTCCTGCTAACTCCTCAGTGCCTTCCCTCCTTTTCCTTTGCCTTCTTGGAATGACGATCTCATCTTCCCTGAATGTTATTTTCTGCCTTTCAACCCTTTTTGTGTGTTTAAATTGTAGTCTTCCCTCTGAGCAGTTAATTGTGCTGAGTCCCATTCCTCTAGCCTAGCCTTCGCTTCAGAAGCCTCACTCTGCAAAAATACTTACTACCCTGAACTGTGTATAGTATCCAGAACATTCTGATAATAGAAACTACAGATACTAATTTGGAAACCAGAACAAGGAATTGTAAGTGGTTTTGTGCTTTATCCTATAATCTCACGGTTTTAGAAAACAGTGGTGGCCACTGGCTAGAATGCTTCACTGGGTTAATTGACCCGGGTTGTTTACCTAATTAGAGATATCTGACTGGGCTTATGTTGCCTGATCATTAGGAAAAAAAAACCCAAAGATAATCCTGAAAGATCTCTGAAGAAAGGATATTTCAAAAAGAGGTCTATATTATTTTGAATACAGTTTAGATAAATGCAGTATTTCTAGAAAACTGCAATCTGCTATACAAATTCTGTTGCTCTAGTTAAGACTAGCAGTCATGCAGTTTTCAAGATAAAAGCTCTCCATAGAAAAGCTGAGCAAACTCGTGTCACTGTTTCATGCTCATTTTCAGGTCAGAGCTCTCTGGTTTTAAAGAGGCAAAGATTTTATTAAAGTGAGTTTCAGTTCATTTGCCCAGTGCTATAAAATAGTAACAATTAAAAAGGTGTAGTAAATGGAAGTAAAATGCTAAGCTATGCTGTGTGTAAACAGGTTCCATCAGACAAAGTGTTTAAAATACAACACCAGGTTTTCTGTAGTCATCCTGTGAGAAGAGTAAGTTCTCTTCACTCAAATCAATGTTTTGTCTTTGCAGTAACAGTTTTAAAATCCAGATTTCCATCACTATAGATCATCTTCAGAGAAAAAAAATTGGAGAGGCATACTCCATTATATTTCTTACTCAGATCAATCTGTAGAGTTTTATTTCATTGCTTACCTGGATCCTCTGTTCAAGTCTTCTAGTGGTCCTGACCTTTAAAAATAGTGTATTCCATTTAACATATCCTGTGCATTTCCCCACAGTAATTTTTAAAGATGAGTAAAGTGGCAAGATTCCACAAGTAATTTTCCACCTCAGGCATTAGACTACCTAAGCAACTACTAAATGCTTAAAAAAAAAAAAAATAAAAAGAAGCAAAGCAAAGATGACTTACCATATATCTTATGGTGCAAGTGATGACTTAGATTATTACACCAAGAGCAATGCTAAACCGATGTGTCAGTCACAAGAAGAAGGTCAAAAACACCTCTTCCTGCATGAAGAAGGATGTATCAGTTTGAAAACTTCTAGCAAACAAATCTGTTCTCATTTAAAAAAAATCAAGGAGCAGTTCTCTTTTTTCTAAAAATGGGTCTTCAGATGTTGCTTTTCGAACTCTGCGAGATGTGCAGAGATGTTGAAACTGTGGAGGATCCTCCTAGGAGCTGAATTCAAGGTTTCACAACCCACAGCTGTAGTATGAGAAAAAGGTTTTTATATCATTGTTTTCTCTTTTTCATTTAGCTAACTTCTTTGCATCAAGAACAGTTTACATGAGGTACATCCCTTTACATTTCTCAATTAAATTTCTTTCATGGTTTTTGCCCCTGAACAGAAAGCAGAGCTTTTGAATAAAGCTTACATTCCTGTTCAGAATTACCTGCACTTTCCTTTGGCTTGCTCTGAGTTGCAATCCCTATATTTTTGGAGATTTTATTCTATTTTTTTCTAACCTGGTCTTTTGGACTGTCTTTTTTAAAAATTGTAATCCCTTTCATAAGACTATGACTGACCTTCTTCTAAAACAACTGTTACTTACTTTTTGACATTAAGCTTCAGAAAAGCCTGATAGAATGTGATTTCTTATCAGCTTACTTCCTTGTAGCTGATTCCTGTGACTTATAGGTAAACTGAAGCTGCACCATGATCAGTTTTTTTACATCCTTCTTAGACATCAAAGAAACCACACAGGAGCTAGGAAAGATACAGAGAAAGCAAGAAAGAGATGGTGCCTTATCAGATGCCTGAGAAACCCTGAGAAGATACCTAATAAAGTGCAATCCCCTGTCTCCCCTTGACATCTCTTTGGAGGGTTCTGGAGTGTCTCATCCTGTCAATCTACTGAAGGCACTAAAGGTATATCTTTCCTGCACCCAGCCCTTAGTATCCTTAAAAGATTTTAAAATGCCAAAAGCCCAGTGGAGATGTCTTGCTTGGGATGCTGCCATTCCTTAATGGAAGTCAAGGGAATCACAGCTTCTGAGTTACATCTCAGATCTGAGGGGAACCACTAAAAAGTGAAAGGCTTAGCCTGTTTCCTTGTCAACCCTTCTCTACATAAGGGACTAATCAAGGCCTTTATTCCATAGGATCAATAGACTTTTCCTTTCCTAATCACCTGTTCTCTAAGGGTTGGAGTCTCAGCATCAAAATTAACAGCTGCTGTTAGGTATTCTAAGGGTATGTTCACACTACCTTTTGTGATGGACTATATTAGACCCCCTATACAGTCAGTGGAAAGAGCTGCTTCTCTAAACGTTTCCATTACACCTAAATCAATCTCCCAATTGCTGCCAAACTTTGCTGACAAAAAAAAAAAAAAGAAAAAAAAGAACTTTTGAAATGAATTCTTGTAATTCACAAACAAGGTATTGTATCAAATTAATTTTTCAATGTATAATTCCTAAGCAGTCTACATGGTGAAATTAACAGACATTTTCAGGATTTCTTTATGAAGCCTGCTTCATTGTCCACTGTTTGTTACATGTTATTGAACCTACTGAAGACTCTAAAACCTTTCATAATCTGACGCTATATGAACAGGGGAAACAGCCTCAAGCTGGTTGTTGGACTTTCTTGTTTTTCATCAAGCTTTAGATTCTGAAATATGCTCCACAAAACTGGTATCAAACATTTGAATTAACAACAACCTAAAAGTAAGACCTGAGATAGTCCCTTGTTCCCACAGATTCATTTGCTTTATTGATCCGTTTGATTTTGTTGGTTACAGCTTTTCATTCTCATAGCTCAGCCTGATCAGTAGCTGGGTGTTTAATTTACTGATTAGCACCGTAAGATTGCAGAGGGTGTTGCATGCCAACAGAGGGCCTCTGCCACTCACGGTTACAGCAGCTGACTAAGGGAAATGGTTTTGATCTGCTCACCAGCTGGGTCTTACAGCTGGATGAGAGACTCCCCACACAGAGTGCAAATAGCTGTGACACTCGGCAGTCCAAAACCAGGGACGCACTCTGGCAGCAGTGTGAGTGTTTGATTATCAGCACTGACATGATATGTTCAGTTAGCTCTAGACCTGCTGCAGATGAGCAGAGCTGCCGGGAAGTCAGATTTGATCAGGTCTTGCATGTGGCTGCAGGCAAGTCTGGGCCCCTTGTGCTGTTTGCTTGGGCTCTGGGGTGCTGGGACTGTGTTGTTCATCCGTGCTGTTAGGACAAGATCTTTCTTTTGTCTCCCTCTCCACTCCCCTACTGCCCTCAGTTGCTCTCGATGAGCCCCTGCAGGACTCAACCTCCCATCCAGTCTGAAGCTCCATCACACCAGCTTGGGACTGACTGTCTTGCTGCTGTGTCACCTCCTCCATCCAGTGTGTGTGTCAACACTGAGGCATGGACAATGCAAGTGGCACATCCATTGTTACAAGTCAGATTTTTTCAGCTCTTCTCAATCTCTTGCCCAGCACATCTTTGAAAAAGTGCACTGCTCTTTCCTGTGAGTTATAGCAGATTTTAAGAATCTTTACCTACAGATGAATCTCATAGTTTTACCAAGATATTGAACCTATTGTTCAATAGTAAAAGGAATAACACAGTGGATTGATATAGCTTGGAATTTTGCTTACTATGTTTTTACTTTCAGAGATGAGTGGGAGTTATGTTTAGTGGCGTGACACTCATTCCCTCCCTAAAGACATTCCTGCAATGGTAGTGGGTTTTGTTCCCTACCTGTGGGGCTCAAGTCAGCAAGTACGCAGCAACGTACACTGTCAAGTTAAACTGCATTCGTCAATGTCTTCTATCTAGTGACTGATTATATGATTCATCTTCACAGTAATCAGGCCTTCACACTTATCTAGTATCTAAGTGATATGGCACTCCCTCAGGATGGTGTCATCATTTATGTGAAATCTACACCAGTACAGAAGTGTCTACTAGGACACATTCCAGATGCTTACCTAGCAGTGTGGCCTACAAATGTCATCAAGCAGAATTATTGGTACAGAAATCTGAAAACACGACTAACGATTTCCATTTGATTTATTACAAAATTGCACCACCTGAAGAAGAAAGATTGGAAATAAAAAAGGCCTCAAACAGAATGGCAGATACCTTTCTTAGAGATATGATAGTGAGCAAACCTCATCAAAGCCTATAACTACAGTAAAAAAGATCATCCTTTGCATCTGGAGAAGAAGTCTAATGAAGGTATGTGAACAGGACTGGATGTATTATTTTATCAGTTGTTTCCCCAATTATATGTCATTTTGCTACATGTTATATTCACAAAATCCATGTCCGAATTAGGTTAGTACTAGCATATACTTTATTTCATCAGTAACAGTTAAATGTCTTTGTTTTGAAGAGGCTGAATAAAGAGATCCACCTATGACTACTGTGCTGCTTGTGTTTGTTTGGTTTTTTTACCAGCCTTTTCTTTAAGCCTCTCAAGTTCTTATGACTAATCTTTTGCTGCCACCATACAATCACACCCAGTCTTATATCTGTGAGGTCTATTTTTTTGAGGAAAATGGGGGAAAAAAACGTTATGTACCACACCCTAAGATTTCTGTTATAGAGACTAGTAAGAAAACAAACAGCAAAATATTTTACACTTTTCACAGGTTCAAGGAAGCTGGGTTACCAAAAACAAGCTCTGGAAAACAAGCATTTCTAATCTGGATTAACACTACTTATTTAAATGGTTGTTTACTGGCAGTAAAATCAAGGGCTTTTCCCCCTGCTATTCTTCTGGTTTCTGTTTGATTCCTTCCTGTAAATCTTGCATGTACATAATTATCTATTGCAGCATATATTAATTCCATTGTCAAGGTATTATTTTTGTTTTGGCTTTCCCCGAGTGGGTCTTACTGCACTAGCTGTGTTTCCTCATGCAGCAAGGAGGAAGAGAGCATTGCTTCCTTCTACAATTTTTATCCAGGCCTCTGATATATGCTGTCCTGTTTTATATATAGGGGGGTATCATAGTACAATAGTTTTTACTTTTAGGCCATAGCTATGCATTTCACAAATTTTCGGCTCTTAGAATCTCTTTTTTACATAGGCCTTTAATTCTCACACTTTACTGTTTTCAGGTACATTTATAGTATGTTAATTCTAGGTTTAGAGGTGTTGTTTGGGGCTATCTTGACTGTGAATTGGAAGTACTCCTCAGTGTACATGTAAATCCTGGATCTTTGATCAGGCAGGCTGGGAAAATCATACACCAAATTCCTTCCCAGTGAAAACTAGGTCACAGACAGAGTCTGTACAATAACAAGGTATGTGCCAGGACCCAGGAATCAGAAAGTACTTTTGGGTGCCAAAGATTTGATGTAGTTTATAATTGTCCATACCTCATGATAGCGTCCCTGCAAGTTGTGTCCAAGTGGCTCCTTCACTTCCATCCATTTGGTTTCCATTCCATTCAAAAAACCTGGTATCAGGTTAGGTTGTGGGTTTAGTGTTATACAGTTATCGTCCTACTGGCACAACCTTGTAGACAGTTCTACAAAGCTGATTGTCACTTGAAGGTTTGTGCAGTTTTATACTGTGTATCTGATAATACTGCCCTCCTCCAGTTCAGAGCTGTCACCCCACCTTCCCAGGATCAGTCATTTCAGACTTAAAACACTCAAACCGAGATTGCTCTCACTGTCACAGGAATTACAAAACTTCTTGGCAGTTATACAAACTTATAACATTTCTTCTCCCTACCATTCCATTTTCTGAATGAAATACAGCTAATAGGTAAGTTGACAGAATATATGTACAAAGCCTTTTTCCCTTATTTCTAGACAAGCATCTTTCTTTGTTTTGGCCCAATTGCTACTGATATTCTAAATGTGCCTGAATTTTCTGGTTTGGTTTTGTTTCTTCTGCTAGCTTAATTTTTTTTTTATTACTATACTAAGGTGTAATGCTTCTAAGGCCACATTAACCACAGTAGCCACTAGGAGAAGGCCAATAGACATCAGTGGTTGAAAACAGCAGCAAAATTATACTTCAAAATGAGCAGTATCTGCCTGTTGTGCTGTTTAACCAGGTCAGCATCATGTCATTCACCTGGCACGTCATTTCTTTGTCTTTTGTTAACTGGAACAAGACACCATGTAAATTTGTCCTTATGTTCTTTGTATCCCTTTTGTAATTTTCACTGGAAGGAGAGAGATTTATTTTGGAGGTTCATAACTAGAAGTCTCTCTTACTCACCTAAATATTTTAATGTGCTGCTTAAAGTATTTATCTCCGATCTTCCCATTACTCTGGCTATAACTTTATTAGCCTCTGTTAAAGCTACTAAAGTAATTATCTCATTTTTTGCCACTACTTTTTCATCTATTCCTTTTCCTTTATACTCAATTTACCTTCATCTTACCTAAACTACGTACACACAAGGTTTCAGCTGGCTTAACAAATAAGAAGGTCTTATAACAAGAACATCCCCATGCACTGCTTACCAGAAGTTTCACTATTTCTACATTTGTCCATTATATACTTACCACAGATGAACCAATGTCAGTGATTATAAATCTGGTGGTTGGTTGTGAGTGCTGCTCAGCACTCACCAATACCATATAAGCACTTTTGCTATGTTTCCTTTTCCCCCTTAGGAAGTCTGCCTGACAGTTGGCGGAGCTATCTTGCTGTGTGGGGAATTCCTCCCCACAGGCTTCTGAACATGTGGCAGTAGCATCTCCTAACAGAAGGTCAGACTTTGTTCTGTTCTGTGCATAAACTAAACTGTTTGGCTGGTTTCGGGGCTGTGCATAGGTATTTGTCCATGGCACATGGGCCTTCTTTTCGTGAGCCCAGTCAATGAAGTCTCTTCAGGAAGTTCAGTGCTGAAAGTTTTGAACTTGTAACAATTTTCACTTAACTGTTTCACTGTTCAACATTTGTTGTAAAGCAATGATTTACTTGTAGTGTTCATAGAAGTCCTGTCTTGAATCTTTCTGGTGTTCTGGTGCTACTTGTACAGTCTCTCAAATGTTTGCTTTTGTTTCCTCAATATCTCACCGGAGCAGGTCAGATGCCTCCCAAGCAGTGCAGTGGTTCTTCCTTGGGCTAGTTTCTTCTCTGCCCTAATTAGAATTGTGGTGCACCTTGCCATTTTCTTAATATAACTAGTTCATCACACAGTTGCTATATATTGTCCTGCTTCTCTAGTTCTACATACACACTGTGTCTTCATCTCAATTCCTTTCCCTGCAGAACTTGAGTTATGGAATATTTGTCTCCGTATGTAAAATTTCCTCCCCTTCTCTGCTAAGGTAACGTGTTCTTTTTCATAGGGACTGGACATCTTGTTAAACCTTCCTCACTGTTAGCTCCACCCCACTGTGACAAGACTGCCTGAAGTTCTGCTAGCCTAATTTGGAACTACCTGGCCTGTTGCTACACCATGCTGCAGCCATATCTGATTGATTAAAATGCAAAATCTGTCACAAAACTATCTAGAGCCTTGCTTGTCTCAGTGCAAAGCTACAGTGAAGGACCAGTATCATCCTGCCTGAGAACATAATGTAACAAGAAGCTAATATTGATGTTTAGTTTGTTTGTGTCCCTGCCAGCACAAAATAGAAAATGAAAATCAGAAAACAAAGGTAGTTGGGTATGGAATATAGCTTATCGCATGGTGGACAGATGAAAAGAGTGTGCAGAGGAGAGGAGGAGGTGTGGATCATAGGCTGAAAAAAGGATTTGGGACAGTGTAACAGGGAGAACGCCATGGTGAAGCAGAAGCGTAATTCCATATTGAACTTTGAACACTTGAAGTTCCTTACACATAAAACTTGGGAGATCAGGTGCACCACATGGCTGGGGTCACTTTTTACAGTGCAAGAAGATCTGAAATTAGCTGCAGAAGGTCTATGGAGAATCCTATCTTCTTCCCAATCTTGATAGAGTGCCATCTTTTATTGCCCTCCTTTATTTCTCCCCTTCCCCTATTTATAACATACTCAGCCCTGTTTCTCCAGATTTCACCCATCTAAAATCTGTGGCCCCAGAGTTTTCCCAAAGCTATTGTAATGAACTTCTCTCAAGCTTATGGGTGGATGAAAGCAGTGCAAGCTACAGACTGGGCAGCTTCTAGACTGGGCAGACAGTTCCCTGCTTGGTCGGTTTTGTTTCTTTCACTGGAGTGTGGTATCATGAGTGTTTAAGTCCATGGTTGCATCTTTTTGCCACCTTCATTCTGTGAAGCTGATGCCTTTTGCTTAAGGAGGAGAACATGGACTACAGGGTATACAACAGATTTTATTAATTTCACTTCATTGACATGAAAACAGGAAGAAACGTAATTCCATCGAGACAAGAATTTAAAATAAAACACATCAGTAAAAACATCAGTTACAGCAAGATTTGTATCACACTGAACTAATCTATGCTTTAATATTAAAAAAGGTGCTTTCACTTTAGTGCAGTAAAAATGTACAAAAGAAAGGAAAAATATTACTTCCAAGCAAGAAGGTTTACTGTGAGGGTAGTTTTTGGTCTTTTATTTAGTCTATCTGTGGCTATTAGCTTCACGTTATAATAGCTGATAAGGTAAAAGCTAACAACTAACAGAAGCAGTGCCTTGTTGTTATGAGGATAGAGGGAGTATTTGCACCACTCACATGAAGGCATCTGATACCTAAATTAAGAGGATGACATTTCCACGTTTCTTCTAGAGTCAGACAGGCAATCTTTCCCAGAGGCCATTTAAATTGTGCGTTTTCTTCTGACTCAGACATCTCTTTTTCTCTACTGACCAGTGGGGGGCCTTGAAGAGATCTGCTGTTAATTTGGGCATCTGAATCACGTGCCTAATGTTAAGTAGTGTGGAATTCCCTTTTGTGTCCTTCCATTTCCTGGAGGTTGTTGAACCTGCCCCTCCAGATTTCCATGAGCAAGGCTTTACATGCATGAGCTGTGCCCTTTGAAGTAAACGGGGAAAAAAAGGGCAGTTCATGTGCATAAGGAGTGCTCACCTGCACTTCCTTACAAGTTTGAAGCAAAAAGTTCTACACTATGCCCCTCCCTCCTTTGCTAACTTCATGTCCCTGGAATACCACTTTCTTTCACAGGGAAATTCCTAATAATGACATAAATGTATGCCTATAGGATACCAGTGGACTAATGGTCTTGAGTCTTCAATTAGCATACAGTTCTAATTAAGGCACCAGTTGGCTATGGGCACTTTTCTCCTGGGAAAACAAAGCAAGTATATCTCCTCTGCAGTTGGCTGCTTTTGCAGTTCCAAGGCTTCTGTCTGCCTAGAACTGTATCCCAAACATCAGACTTACTGTGTATATGAAGAGCACACTTTTCTCATGCAGAAGCGTAGCCTGACACACTGCATCTGCCATGTAAAGTCTTCTTCTACACACATGATTTACCTGTCCAGAACTAGGGAGGCCTCCACTCAATACTGTTCTCATGGTCTCCAAAATACTTCAGGGGGTCATAATATTTTCTTCATACGGAATCTTGCATAGCAAATACCAAGGTAATTTTCATTCTGGTCTTGCAGATCTTTGATGATGGGCTTTTATTGGTTAAGTGCTCTTTTTTTTGGAGGGATATTATTTGTCAGAAACAAGTTCATGTTTTTTGGGGGTGTGTTGTTGTCTTGTTGTGCAGTAAGTAGACTTGGTGTGAGCAGTTACTTGCAAAATTGCACCCATAAAAATGACAATGTTGCTGATTAAAAGCCCACTTTGGAAAATGTTAGTAACTGAATGGTTATATGGCAAGCATAAAATGAAAGAATTAAAATCAAAATACTGTAACTTAGCCTATAGTCAAAAGGATTATGTTTTAAAATGACTACACTATTAGATAACAGGCAAATCCTTGGGTTAAATGGCCCCAGTAAGATAAAGGTCAGTCAACTCTTCCATCAGAGGAGAGATATTATCTTGATATATCTCATATTCAACCTCAAATTCCTTTTTATGAAAACATCTTTTATTCATGTAGGGAAAATAAGGGGTAGGGGGGAAAACTGAAGAAAATTAAAGCTCCCCCCCCCATCAAATGCCTGAACATGTTGCAGAAGGAATACAGTCACTTCCAAAAGGTGTTCCATTAACGTTAAAGAGTAAACAGGTACATCAATCCTCAAAGCTTCCTCCCAGCGTTTATCTTACAATGTTTGTATAACAGCAAATGGCTCTTGTGAGATGATATATTACTCCTCAGTCTCTTCAATACTGTATTCCTCCCAGGTAAATCTCACTAGCATTTGTTCATTGGATAGAATTTGGGTGAAGAAACAGAATCATACAATTTTGGGTCCCATTCAAATCTTGACGTGATCCAGCCATGGTGTTAATACTTCGCAGAGAACTCATATTCTAAGCCTGGAAAATGCTGTAATCCCAGGGAACACTTAACCACAAGAATTGAGGGTCATACAGTTTTCAGTAGTGCTTGGCAAAGATCTTAAATAATGTCAGGCAGTCCTTAAGGCAAAGCAAGTGATGCAACATATACTAACTAATTTTTAAATGCATTTTTACAGTCCAGTAGAGATGTCATGCTCTGCAGTGGATGGTGTGAATGTGGAACTAACTCTTTCTAATTTTTCACGATAAAGATTTGGACATTTTTTGCAGAGGTGGGCTGCAACATGCTTTCGGAAAAATCTGTGAAGATACTTCCTAAATTTTTCTCCAACAAATGCATAGATCACAGGATTGATACAACAGTGGATCATTGATATTGTTTCTGTCACTTGAATTGCTTTCTCCAGATGACCTTTGATTTCGCAATTTGGGATGAAAAGTAAACTTTGAAATGTATACAGAAAAGAAGAAATATGGAACGGTGTCCAGAAGATGAAATAAACAATCATGATGACAAAAATAAGTCTGACTGCCTTCTGTTTTTTCTCATTCCTACATCGCAATAATGTTATTAGAATTCGTGAGTAACTGAAAATCATAATGAGCATTGGAACAATAAGTCCCAGAATGTTCATCTTTAAAGTAAAGGAGTATTTCCATTTTATTGAGGCATCATTTGGATAATGAGCACTGCAAGTATAACGTGAATTTTCCTTTTGAGTTTTGTGAAATACTATCCCAGGAACAGAAATCAAAAGAGCAACAACCCAAGTAGCAATGCTGGCGAGGATGCCGTAGGT